TTTTTTTCGTGGTTTTTGTATTAGACCCGTCGTCCATTTATTTGTAAGTCAATGGATATCAAACATATTATATGCAATATAAGCTAACATTTAATTTTTATTTACATCACACAAAGGAAAGAATGTTTTATTAAGAAATTTTAAATTGGAAAACTTTGATAGTTCAAAATATTTATTCCAATAACAGTTACACAGTATCTTAATAACCTTTATTTTCTAAACATTTTTTATATTACTATCGCGTCTATACATCGAGCATTTGTTTCTAATTTTGGACTAATATTCGTACAATGTAATATACTAAACAACTAATCTACACGTATTGCAATTGTCGGCAACGTGTGGCGCAATCTGGTGTCAGGCAACCGGCCGCGGAATCGCCAATATGTCATCGGCCAAAACTCTACCTTCATAAAGGTGATGAATGAACATTATGTCTTGTTGTTACAGATGCAGCAGCAAATGGCTCAGGCTATATATCTCCAAACAATGCTAGCAATGCAAACGGCTAACGGTATGTTACCATTACACAGATTCTCCATCCCCACTAACTGACATTTAAATCGTAACCGAATAAGACCTACAATCCTGTGAAGCTTTCAAATGCGAACATTCTTTTTTTCAAAGCCACCGGACTTGCTGTTGACAACTACCAAGCTTTGGAATATCGAATATATAACCAGAAATACAGACGAAATAAGGGCCATCCATCCCTGGAAACTCATCAGGCGAATGGGCCTTATATCGCTTTTAAATATCAACTCTCGTTTGTGCTGAAATCACAAATTAGAAAGCTGAAATAGTACAGCGCCAACAACTGACCTGTTTGTAAATCTCCTCAAACATATTCTGTATTTATTGTAATAACGATAATATTTCTAACAATAAGGGGCTGTTCCATTCGGTGGTGTGGGAAAAACAGCAAAACATTTAATTATAAAACAAACGGAATCACATTTCGTCCATTATGGCAAAACTCAAGTTAAACTGGTCGAAATGATTTTACGACATCCGTCAATTGTTTCGAATTCGGACTGACCAATCGGAGCGCAGTTGTCATCTTAATGATTTGGCAGAATAATTTTCAAACAAATTAAATGACATTTCGTCTCTATTTCTGGTTATACACACGATGCTTTGGAGCAAAGGTAGGGTCTAGGATGGAACGAGCTCGCCTAGAAGATGCCTATTTAGTCGCACCTTATAGATACTTGAGTTGTATGTGCTCGAAAAATTTCATCTACAGGGCAGGCAGAGCTTTCATCCCAAGAATTCGCACCAAGTGTTTTTTTTTCCACATTTACATGACGAACTGTTAAGATGTGAAATTCCCTGCCTGCAGACTTACTCTATTTAGGCCTTTTCACGGCGAGGGCCTATTCAAGGCGAGAGAGAATAGGCATTATTTAGGTGTGGATTTATTATTATGGAGAAAACTTAAATAATTAATTTAACGAATAATTCGTTTAATTAACAAAACTGGCAGCGAGTGCGCTGTGCCGTTACAGAATCCGTCATTAACTCAGCCTATTGTCGTCTCACTGAAGGTACTACGACGCTGTTTTTCAGTGAATCCGGTAACAGAAAGACGTATGGCACGGAACATAGCAGATGTAGAACTAGATTACGTTGTCATAAGCACTATTTCAACAGAAAACTAAATTATTTTAAAAAAGTGTACACATACCTTATAAATTTTTAAGTAACGGTTTATAAATCTCAAAGGTTAATAAATCTCATTTACATAGTCAAAAATTTTATTATAATCAAATAAACAACGAATTAATAAGTAACATAATGCAAAAATATATCCTCGACACATTACCAGCTACAATGGAGATTTTTTAAATTTAAATAAACGCTCTTTGAATTACTTTTAGTTTTAAAGTCAAAAAGTGACGATAGATTTAATGGATCCTTTGCATCTGCTGTCAGGCAACCTAACAGTGACAATAATTTAAACCCCTGATGCATGGTAAGAGAGGTAGATACATTGAAATACACGGTGATAAATAAATTTCTGGTGACCTCTATGCTGCGCCTTAAGACATACTAACTAAATAAGTAAATGAGTATAAGGAACATAAGAAATACAATTTATAAAGTTCTTGGCTAATTTTAGTATTTCTGATACCACTAATTATATTCATTAGTTGTCAATATACAAATAAATATTGTGATTCAACAAACTAAAAATATTTTGAATAAAATAATAATTAAATTAGGCTTCAAATACTGAAGAGTAAAACGGTTCATTAACAAGGCATTCAAATAAATTTCTTTTAAATGTCACAATATCCTTAATGTTCCTAATGTCCGATGGTAATTTATTATAAATCAACCGTTCTGCCACAGAGGCAGTAAAAAGCAGATTAAAGGCAGATCTACCACCTACGCTGTCAAGTTTATTAACTCTTTAAAAGAATTTTGGATTGCCTCTGATGAAAACTGCGATGTTATAAAGGATGGAAAGTCTAAGGAGTTAGAAGACTGTCTATATGTATCTGTATGTCGGTATGGCATCGTAGCTTTCAAACGGAGTGAGCATTCTAATAGTGATTTCTTTTTATTTAAATTTTATCGGGATTTCAAAATAATAAGGATTATCCGCTCTTTTCCCAGTTAGTCTAGGAAACAGATTTGTGGTGCGGATGTGGATGGAAGGGCTTTAAGAGGACGTTCCAGAAGGACTTAGATTGACCAGATCAGTGATGTCCTCAAAAAGGCTGGGATCCGAAATGGCGTTGTGTCAGGATATAGTAATACCCGTTTTCTCTGACTACCCCTCCTTTGAGACAAGGGCGTGTGCTTATGTATGTATGTAGGGAGTCATAATTAATATTTATTTTATTTCCATGTGTCTAACGAACATGAAATTTGGTATACCTTCTATGGAAATGTTATGACATTAATATGTTAACTTTCATCTGATACTGCAACGCTATGCAGAACGACATGGTCGTGACCACGTCATCTGTGACCCTGGATTTTTCTTTGCAGAATGAGTTGCTATAAAGAGTATTTTTCACACCGCATGACGTGTCCACAGTACTGTAGCTTTCTCTGTTTTATCATTTTCAGGAGCTTCAAGCCTTTTTGCATTCAATACCTATTATATGCGCAACATCTAATAATTAATTATTTTTTACTTACAGGATCTCGACTACCTCCACCACTAGATGCAAAAATCCCCACCAATCTACCAACCCCATCGATATCAGACCTAGAACAATTATTGCAAACACGAAAAACCGAAAAGGAAATAAACACCAACACAGAAAATCAAGAATTAAATCTAAAAAATCAAAACATGTCTTACAAATGCACAGAGTGTTCAAAATGTTTCAAAGACCCGGATGTTTTTGTTCTACACAAAAGAACACATGGCAGTAAGAGAGAGGTCGAAAATGCAAATTTAGCTAGAGGAAGTGAGAAGGAAAACATCGACGCTAATAATGACTATTCAAGTCAAGAAACTCTAAGAGCTAATCCTATATTGGCTAATTTATTAAAATCAGGTGTGCCTCCAACGAATTTGCTTTCAAATTTACCAGAAATGTCTATGCCTAATGTTTTTGATGCGAATAACGTATTGAGTATAGAAAATCAAATAATGACAACTTTAGCCGCGAATATGGAGAATTATATTAGAAATTTATCAAATTTACTTTCTGTGCAAGCGAAAAATGGGGAAGACATTGATCCGAATAATTCTGATGAAGAAGATCATGATTCTGATCAAGAACAGGTTAATTCTGACCAAGAACGGCATAATTCTGACCAAGATCTGCATAATTCTGATCAAGAACTGCATGATTCTGATCCAGAACAACGTGATTCTGACCCAGAACACCATAATTCTGATCAAGAACAGCATAATAGTGATGAACACACTCATAATTTATTTCAAGGTGATCGCAATTCTGACATATGTGATGAAAACAGTGATTTTGATAATGATTATTTAAATGAGAAAGTCTCCAATAGTAAATATAATGATGTGATGGATAGAAATAATGATTTCGTCAGAAACGGTCATATTTCAGATCATAGTGTTCAAGATAGTGGGGATATTGACATTAGTAATCAGAGTACCAAACTAAATGATCAGACTTTTGACAATAATTATCAAAACTACCATCAAGCAGATCAAAATTCTGGTCAGTCTTACAGTCAGAATTACAGTCATGATTTCCAAAATTATGACAATAATAGCCAAAATTATCATCAAGATGAGAACAATTCTCTTAAAGACGTTCAGAGTTTTGACAGTGACTGTCAGAATTGCCATCAAGATACCTGTAATTCTGACAATGATTGTCAGAATCATAATCAGAATTGTAATGATAATCAGAATTTTGACAAAATAGGTCAAATGTTAGAAACTAAGGGTTCCATATTAAATGAACCCAGCTGTGATAAATAAGACTTAAATCGATCGAAAGACTCTTAATCATAGACAAAACTGTGTATTTTTTCTTCTAGTAGGGTAAGTTTTTTTTTATTATGTGGCTCAATTATGAAGATTGTTACCGTTACTTTCCGTGCTGAAACTCGTAAACGAAATCAAAACAAATGATGTCGACTAAATGGCACTAAAAACCCGCGGAGTTGTTGCAAGTAGTATCGGTTTATATCGTTAGATGGCGCTGTACTTGAAATCGTCATATTGAAGTCTGCCATCAGAAATCACCGATCAAATTCATGTCTTAATAAACGTAATAAACACACGTCTTCCTTAATCTTCATGTTGGCGAAATAATCTATTGCATCGATGAAGCTATATCACTTGATAAAAAGCACTACTACCCAATCGTAGAGCTGAGATTCTATTGAATATAAAAATCTTGAGTTTGCTCTTTGTAAATTGATACTGTTCGAACCAACCTAAACTTAATGGATCACTCCCATGGGTTTTCGTCGCCTAAATAAGCAGAAATTGTACAATAACCTTATGTATATAGCGTTTTTTCCACAAATGGCGAATTTACGGTTTTCAGTACGGCGATTAACAGAGACGTGGTTTATTTGTCCACATTAATACTAAGCGACTTCAGCGCTGTGAACTCATGGCAGACACTAAAGACAACGTTTTTAGTTGCTCATAAACCTCTTAAGGGTTGGATCTTATTTGTCCGCTTATACTAACATTGTATTTTACATGAGGTATCTTCAATGGCTTTAACAAGTTTTAGCATCGACCATGCTGACGAAATCCCATATAAAACACTGGTTTAGTAATGACGTAGTAGTAAGAGAGTCACTACGCTTATCGACATTATCGCATTAAGTCGGTTAGAAAAACTTTTATGTCCATATAATAATACTCAGGACGCACAGAGGTGGTAGCGGGTGCGTTTCTCGCGCGGAAATTTTTGTAATGTACGAGTTCATATGAGGCGGCTGCGAGTTGTATTCCATTGAGTTCTATACAACCGTCCACACTTTAGCTGGCTTTCGTGGTCTATTTTTTCATAACTCTTGAGTATGTTTTATTGAGTTCCAATATGAATTAGTCATTCATCATTACCCGACAGCGATGTGGTTTATTGTTTAAAATCTGTTTTGAAAATGAAACGTGGCCGCTTTTGGTGTCACACTGGTCGCCTTCGGGCCGCTATTCCGCCTCAAACAAGCTAGGAACTGCTGTGTAGTACTCCCCAGTACGCCCCCCGACCGCTTTAACCGTGTGTGGTCTGGGCTTAAGGATGAAAAAGACGTTTGTCCGAAGAGAGTTGTCGCATTGGCTCGTAAGACGCGTCTCGACTGAAATTCAAATGATCTCATCGAGATTGCCGAATGAGTCCGAAGGTCATATTTTATATACCCCCGATCCGAAACCATGGCGAACGGCGGCTCTGATGCTCAAGGTCTCATCAAGGGCGAATCGGCTTAATGCGACGAATTGTGGTAAAACATGGACGCCTCAAACCGATTCTACGTCTATAAGTGTAGTGACTTCCTAAACCGGGGATCCAACTCGTAAAGTTTTGCAGTCTATCGTCTGTCTTTTTTGAAGACGGAGTAAAATGACATTTGTGGGGTTGCCAGCTTTCATAAAATTTAAAATAGTTATGTAATTTTTGTCGATAATTCTATCGATAGATTGTGAAAGAAAAAAAATTGGCAAAAATTACTAAATTGTGAATGTTACGACGTTCTAATGATTACTAATTACGTTATTGGCTTCTTTATTCTTATTTTGACGGTTAGCCTACTAGTATCGAGATCTATTTTTATTCATATTACATTTTATCAAGAATAGCCGGATTTGATTATTGAATTAAAATTAAAAATATGAATCAAATATGAATGTAATTCTAAATGCAGTGTATGTATGTTTGAACTTCCAAAAATTGACAATTCAAATGAACTTGGGCTCAGTAATTGAATGAATAATGGGTCGAGGATGATGCAAGTGAAACAACTTCAGCTATTAATTATATTTAGTCGATAGTCGATAGAATATTTTATCGACTGCAATCACTAGCCGGTCGCAAGTGGGCAACACTTGCGCAATGATCTGTCATTTTACTCCGTCTTTAAAAATGACAAACTATAGCTACACCTTTATAAAAACGTTTTCTAGCATGTTACGCACCGTCAGTGACTTAAGACTCCAAACTGACGCGTTGTTCACAAGGCAGCTCTTTACAAAATTGATGTAACTGTAAAGACAGTATGGTTTTATATATTTGTGAAACTTTATGTTTCATGAATGGTCCCACCTCTTAGATTTTAAGTTCACGAAAAGGATATAACCGTAACAACCGCTCCTTCGTCTAGTAATAATAATTTATGTATCAGACAACATAGGTTCGTTTTTATAAAGTCAGTAAAGTGACCCTAACAATGACACTAACCTGTTATGGGTACTTAATTTCTAAAACAGCGTTTGTGTCTTCCTACGAATTCTAGGTGATTGCATCGTCAAATATTAATTTAAAATATGCAATTTGTATTTATTAAACCTTCTATAGGGTTATGAACAGAGGTCGGTATAATAATAAAAAGGAAACCTCTCTCTGAAATCTTGTATAATAGTAATTTCAATTCCAAAAAAACATAATTTTTGAATGGTTATGCCGTTAAAGTTGATATGCAATATAAACTTGCTACCTGAAGGGGAGTTTGTGTCTAGATAATACGGTTATACCTTTTTATGGTTTTTTTTCTAAAGTTTTCATGTAAAGAAATCATGTTACTTTTTGTCTATTATCCACGAAAATATTCCTCAAAATATTTTTGTCAAATTAGACAGGGTGTTCATAAAATCAACAATACAATAAGAGCTTTATTTTTCTTTTTGTGTAATTTTAAGGACTGACAAGTGTGGATATAGAAACGGTGGTATTCATTTGTGACAATAGGGTGTAATTCCGCTTGTGCGCGTGTGCACCATGTCAACGTAGCGGCTAGGATCTATAGAAAGATTATTTTCTCGCTGCAGACTCGGCTATAAATTGTCGGAGCGGGACAGCGATATTGCGCTCTCCCACTTTCCAGTAGGGAACGGGCCGTTTGTGTAAGTGCAGGCCTGATAAATGCTATCGATTTAGATGACGTTTTAATTTTGTTGTAATGTAATCCTACTTTCAGTAGGAAGAGGAATAACAAATAATTTATTTGTTAAAATGCAAATTTACAATATTCAAAACCTTAAACTAACTTTTAAATCTTTATTGAATTGACATTCTATTATTTTTTGTGAAATTAATCCACTAGATTGTTATAATCATTAATACAGAGATCGAACTCAGAAAAAAATCCTTCGACCCAGTCGGATTCGAACCGACGTCTTCTTGCATACCGTGCAACCTAAAACTAAAACAATGTTTTTTTTATAATATCAAGTGACGGAACGAACAAGTCGTCCGCCTGATGGTAAGCTACACGCCTGTCCATAACAGTTGCAGTGCCCCTCAGAGCTTTATATCGCTAAGATCTGAGGGGCATTGCCACTGTGCCCGTCTCACTGAGACATAAGTTGACAAGTCCTATGTGCCTGTAATTTCACCAGCACCCTTACCCTTCAAAACCGGAACGCAGTAATGCTGACATTACTATATAGCGGCAGAAATAGGTAAGGTGGCAGTAATTCCCTGGACAAACTCTTTCACAAGGAGCTCTACTGCTACTAAAAACTAGTTATGGTAGGAAGGGCAGTATCGACATGGCTTAGTTGGCATAGCGTCAGGCATCGCTTGCTAATTTGTACTTCCTAATTTTACGGGATCTTTAATTTTCGCTAAAATATTAAATTTAAAAAAGTAAGCGATATTTAAACAATAACAGATTTTGAATTACTCTTAAAACATCGCGAACCCTTCGTGACCAGATTGTTTTTATCGATAGCGGGCTTGCACATGCTCAACACTATGCAAGTAGGAGAGAGAGCGCAAGTCGAAGTCCCGATCCGATGATTTACAGTCGCGTCTGTAGCGAGTAAATAATCTTGCTATAGTACAAATGTAATTATACTAATGCATGCGTTATATGCGCTTGCAACTCTGTGCGTGCGAATATCGTATGCGAGTCAAAAGATCAAGTAATTACACGAAACTAGCGAATCTATCTTGTCTGTCTTTTAGGCTAGGGATCAATTACGGGGAATTTACGCGACGGAAATTAAGCGCGCTCAACACTCGTTAGTGAGAGATAAAAAATACATCTTGTTTTTGAATCCAGACGACATTTGCGATGTGTTTTGAGGTGAAGAAACACTGGTCAATGCGGAACGCCATCCCATACCAATCGTGCTTTTTTATCGATGCGAAAGTATGCGATGACTATCCCGTACTAGTTTTGGTTTAAATTTTGATCCTTAACTGGCCCAAGTGTAACTTCAAAGGCAGCCTGGCTTTCAGCGTAAAATACAAAATCCTACTCAGTTTTGAAAATCATTAACGGACTTCGAAACTTAAACAATGTGCGAGTGGGTTACGTGCGCAAATTCAGTCGCGTTTTTTCTGCCAATTTCGTCCTACACCGAGTAATTATTTTTAACGAGGCTGATTTATTTCACATCGATACATATCTTAAGTAATATAAATTTAATGACTGAACATTAGAAGACTGTTAATTTTTTTGTTATTTTTCTCAAAAGACTGTATAAACAAAGCCCACCGAGATCTTTCAGGAAATTTTACACTAATTTTATTCGTATTATTGTTTCCCTCAAGTATGGTGTTTTGACAGTTCAACGATAATTAAGTATATTATCACCGGCGTCCAAACTTTATTTGGACTTAATTTACATTACTGCGGCACGGAATGGAATTCTTGTAACGGAATTGTACATAGCATAGTAACATTATGACAATTGTGTAACATAGGTCGCCAATCCCACAAAGCTTAAAAACGACGTGGATATTAACAATAAGCCTCATCCACAAATTCAAGGTCACTCATCGTGCGATGGATGCTTGGGGTTTCTCTGACAAAATGTAAGAAATTACATTGAGATCGTCAGACAAAAATGAAAATTATAACAAAAATACACAATAATTAGAAAATTAACAATTCATTATATGATATCGTTGTCATTAAATTACGTATCAAATATCATTCTCCATCCAGGATCGTCATATGTTGATAACAATTATACAAGAGTAAAATGCGGTAAAAAAATTACAATGAAATAGAAAATATTCAATATCGTTACAATTTTAAGTCCATAAATTCATTTACAGAGTATAAAGGATTTTTCAATAAACGGTCTTTCAGCCGGCGCCTAAATGTTTCGTCAGACGGTTCAAGAGTAGCGGGTAATCGATGGACAGAATCCCTAAATAGGTCACGTCAGAAAATTAAAGTGACCGACATAACTCGCAAAATAGGTAAGCTTAAGTGACAGTGGGCCACGCATGTCTGCAGGAGGGTTGATCGCCAATGGAACAGACTTGTTCCGGAATGGTGAAGACCGGGAGAGATGGCGCGCTCAAGGCGAGGATTACGTCCAGGAGTGACGCGTGTAAGCTGATGATATGTAACGTACAAACTAAATACAATACGGCACCTTCGGGAAATCCCGAGATGTGACGACTTAAAACACCTTACCTGTGGACTCGTATCCAGTTTATTCCTTAACACAATTGACAGAATGTTCATTACGCTATGGTTACATAAATTCATTACCGTGCCGCAATATAGTCAGCACGTTTGATGTTGAAGCTTACTGACACAGCATCCCACTTTTGATTAACTGTTGTAATAAAAAATTAGGCGTATTTTTCAGAGCTGTGCGTTTTGAGTTTAAACTCGTTATGTCACTGAGTTACATATTCATGTACAGGGTTTCCCACGGCTTTAAAGTACATTGGTACATTGGACATTGTTTTATTTGTAAAAGTAAATGATACATGGACTGCAAACTTAGACTTATAAAAAAAGTGATACTGAATTCAAAGACAAAAGTAGCTTGCCTCATCTGGGCATTGTCCTAGGTCATCATAACATTTTATTTTCATTGTAATTACACCTACATATTGTATACCAAGTTTTTAATCGGTTAACGAAGAGTGTGAAATTTGCCACCCTTAGTGATAGAATATTTTATTTAAATTCGAATGAGACCACTGAGGGTATGCATTCCAACAAAAAGAATAATCGAAATCGGTTCACAAATGTCGGAGTCATAACGGCACTTACACACAAATAAAAATACAGTCAAATTGATAAACTTTTGAAGTCGATTAAAATAAAATAATGTCTTCATGACGGAAAATATCTTATCTACAAAATTTTTGAAGCATTTTCCCTCCATGTCTTGTAGCCGTGAGACGCCCTATATAATAATAATAATCTTTATTTTACTCTTACAAGGGTACAAAGTTTTATAATGTAATTTACATGAAAATGCTTAAATAATAGAGTACCTTTGCAAGAGACTGGAGTCTATACTAGGAACTAACCTGTGTGACAGATCTCGAAACGATACAAAGAAGTAGACATATACAAT